GATGGAAAATATTATTTTATTGATGAATGTGTGATTGAAAATTAGTAGAAGAATGAGAATGAAAAAAAGAATGGATACCAAACAGAGGCTTAATGTGACAAACTATCTTGAATTTCTTTGCCTAAAAAATGAACACTCAAAGAAAAGCGTATAAGTTAAGCCACACAAGTCTATTATAACGCACAAAAATATTAAAGCACAAATCCCTATGCAATGTCACGTTACTTGTGTCTGGTGATCCGCACAGGATAAAAAAAACCATAGCAAATTAAGCAAGCGTGTGGGCTCCACATTCGGATCTGACGTTGCATGATGTGCCCACAAGAGTCCACCGACGCTAAAAACGTGCTTTTCGGGACCCACATAACGTGGGCTCGTACTTGCTCGCACGCACTCTGCACGTGACTCTCCCGCGTTTGGCGCGCCGATGGAATTAAGGTTGTAACGTGGTTACGTGGGTAACATAACGTTGGCGCGCCGGTGGATTCACGCAATATAATCCAACAAAAAGATTTGCTTACATTTTAGAGTATGTTTGATAGATATTAAAATCGAAATAAAATTGAAAAATTAATCGTTATTGTTGACTTTTATTAGACGGGTGGGACCCAATAACGACTATATTTTCAATTTTAATTGAATTTTTAGTGTTATCAAACAAGCACTTAATATAATTACTTATTTGAGCCTAATTTTTGTTTAAAAATGTATTTTGAACTAGTATATTGATAGAAAAAGTGTAGTTAAAAAATAATAGAAAGTTTTAAATTTACACATAATATTATCTTATTGAAAAATATGAGATTCAAAAAAAGAAAATAAAAAATATATTTTAAAAATAATGAGAATTAAACGATGATTTATTATTATTATCGTTGAAATATGACGAAGGTCATTTTTGGTACCCAGAGTTGTCCCCCTTCAATTGTTTTTATTAATTAATCTATCCTGTTCCTAATCACAACCTTCATCCGCTAATTCTTTACGCGTGCTTTAAAATAAGAGATGAACATTTGATTACAATTTAGTATTTATTTTTATTTTTATTTTCTTGCTTATTTAAAAATACATGGGATAAATAAATCTTTTTACTCTTTAAAAAAATATTTGGATAATATCGTCATTAGTAACAATATGTGCTGGGGGTAACACCACGATTTTCATTTCTTGAATTACATTTTAATTGTATCTAATGTTCTTAATCTGTACTCATTATAGTACTTATATCTCTATTGATTTTTCATGTCATTCTTATCCTCAAACTTTCTAGTAATTAACACATTTTATATGTGATAATAGTTTCATGTTCAAAAATCTGTTGAAATGTCGTAGAATAAAATATTTTTCCATCATATATTTTAATAAATAAATAAATAATGCAAAAAAATATTTTTATCTCATTTCAGAGTTAATACGTCTCGTTCTTGATGATAATTTAAATCAAAATATTTCTCTTATTTAAGAGCATAAAAAAATATATTTTGATATAAATTATCAACAAGAACGAGACGTACTAATTAATAGAAGGCTGGAGATAACAATTCGACGAAAAAATATTTAAGAAAATAATGGTTACAATGAACAATGATTGAAGAACTTAATCGCAATTAAAATGTGGCGTAACAGATAAAAATCGTGGTGATAATATAACCACCTATGCTAACCATCAAGATTTTGAGAATAATAACATTATAGAAAGTTAAAAGACATAATTGCAATAACGAGTGAAGGTCGTAGACAATTAAAGTAATTAAAATATTTTGTATATATATAAAAATATGATGTGAATATATCTAGTTGTATCTATTATAAATTTTTCTTGTCATTTTGGGAAAGTGTCGAGTATAATATACTCTTCTTGAATTTTGGTGTATTCAAAATTCGGTTGCGCTACATGTACCCTGCACACAAGTTTTTCAAACTCATCATCGTTTATCTATTTTTATATTTTTTAGACAATTTTCCAAAGGTAAGTCAAAAAAAAAAATATATGATTTTTATTTTATTTTTATCACGCAAATCATGATAACGAGTCAATTTATAACGAATAATACACACATTTAATATGAAAAATAAAGACTAGGAATAATATTAGGGTGTGTTTGATAGATATTATTTTGGAAGAATGTATTTTGGAATAGTAGATTGATGAAGAATGTGTGGTTGAAAAAGAAGAAAAAATTATTGACGTGATGAAAAATATTATTTTATTGAAGAATGT